CCTCCAGAAAACTTGAGGGAAACCATCAGAGAATTCATGCAGTGAAGTCTCAGTGAAAACAGTATGGGTTCAAACCAGACCCATGAATTCAGATTGTCTTTGTGTTAACTCATTTTCTCTCTGTGTTTCATTTTAAATTCTTATTTAGACATAGTACTCAATAGAATATCAAAATAGCTGATATGGCAGGATAACGTTAATTCCTTTTTAAAGTATATCTTCAGTATAATAGCATTTAGCATATATCCAATATGATGAACATCTTAAAATATTTTCAAAAACTTAGTATATCCATACTATTTTTATAACCTAGAATGAGGAAGAATACAAAACGAAATGCTCTCAACGAAGTTTTATGCTTATCTATCTGCCTTCTTTTAATTTTTATAGACTTAGCATTTTTTGTCTATGCATCTCATAGAATATTGAGCTTCAAGGTATTACCAAGAAAATCAAATAATATGTTCCTTTTTATTTTGACTCAGTTGTTCAAATTCCTAAAATATTGTTATGAATAAAAGTTGCAAATCTTGCAGGAGTATATACAAAAATTGATTTGTTTTGTTAGTGGGGGAAAAGAGGTGGGTAGAAAGATGATGTTTGCTTTCTTAAATATAAGTTTAGCTGAACTTTTAAAAGCTATAGATTAAATCAAACAAGCTATCAACTCTGGATTCAAAACATCCTCCCATAATAATAATAATAATAATAATAATAATAATAATAATAATAATAATAATAATAATAATAATAATAATAATAGTAGTAGTAGTAGTAGTAGTAGTAGTAATAATACGTGGCAGTGCCTGGAGACAGCAGAATTGACGAGAAAGAACTGGAGAAGATAACAAAATAGAAATAGAAAGACTGTGGCAAAAGCAAGCAAGAGTAGTACCAATAGTAATAGGCACCTTGGGTGCAATCCCAAAACAACTGGAGCACCACTTGAACACCATTGGCATTGACAAATTCGCCATTAGTCAATTGCAAAAGGTGGGCTTACTAGGAACTGCTTCCATCCTGTGACGATATCTGTAATACCATCAAACATCCACATCTGCCTATCCCAGGTCCTTGGTAAGGACTCGATAGGTAGACAAAAATGACAAATCCAGTCTGAACATCTGGCTGACTGTGCGATGATCAATAATAATAATAACAACAACAACAACAATTTTTTTAAAAGTTGGAAGGGACCAACCCTCTGCTCAGGCAGGAAACCCTACACCATTTCAGACAAATGGCTGTCCAGTCTCCTCTTAAAATCTTCCCATGTTGGAGCATTCACAGCTTCTGGAGGCAGGTTGTTCCACTGATTAATTGTTCTGTCAGGAAATGTCTCCTTAGTTATAGGTTGCTTCTCTCTTTGGTTAATTTCTATCCGTTGCTTCCTGTCCTGCCTTCAGGTGCTTTGGAGATTAGCTTGACTCCCTCTTCTTTGTGGCAGCCCCTGAGATATTGGAACACTGCTATCATGTCCCCCCTCGTCCTTCTCTTCATTAAACTAGACATACCCAATTCCAGCAACATTTCCTTATATGTTTTAGCCTCCAGTCCCCTGATCATCTTTGTTGCTCTTCTCTGCTCTTTTTTTACTTCGTGGTGACCAAAACAGGATGCAGTATTCCAAATGTGGCCTTACCAAGGCATTGTAAAGTGGTATTAAAACTGATATTGTAACGTGGTATTAACACATATGCACTGACTTAGTTCTTACTTAAACGTTCTAGCTACTTCTTCCTATTTCCTTACACATCTACATGACAATGAGATATGTTAACCTAGAACCTGCATTCCAAAAAGCAGATTTGAAACCAAACTTAACCTTGTACAATAGTCTCCTCCAGCTTTCTCCAATCTCTATATCTGTTGTGTTACATTTCCCAACTTTCCCAGAAAACATGTTCATAATATGAACATTTCCACTGTTCTATTTCATCAGACTACTTGTCTAATTTATAGATAAATATATTAGATTAAAAAATAATGTCAATATTTGCTGACTAGTAGCCCTCCAAAACCTGCTACATGTACCTTTTAGTTGGAAGTGCTATCAATTTAATTTTTTAGAGGAAAGTCGGTATTTCACCACTGAGCTACAGTATATTAATAATGTATTATACAAGTAGTATTAAAACATCTTGTTAATATAACTACAAACTATTGTTAAATTAGTGGAAGGGCAGTAGCTGTGGGGAAATCACATCTGATTTCCCCACAGAATATCCCATGCTTTATCTTTAGTATGTCTAGATAAGACTGAAGAAATCTCTGTATATATGAAGCCTGGAAAATTGCTGACAATCAGTTTCACTGTACAAAACTAGATAATCAATGACCTGACCTGTAATATGTTCTTATGTTCCTGTTTTACTGTACTATAAAATCATTATTTAATGACAATATGTTTACTTTTTATTCGATTCCATATTTTTAGTTGCAACTTTATTGATTAAAGGTGTTTCTAAACCATAACAATTTGAAGATGTGTGAACCTTCTCTCCAAAATTCCCCAGCTAACAGTCTATATATTTTCAAATTGCCGTGGTAGTAGTAGTAGTAGTAGTAGTAGTAGTAGTAGTAGTAGTAGTAATAACAACAACAACAACAACAACAACAACAAAGTTGAAAGGGACCTTGGAGGTCATCTAGTCCAACCCCCTGCTCAGGCAGGAAACCCTATACCATTTCAGACAAACGGCTGTCCAGTCTCTTCTTAAAAACTTCCAGTGTTGGAGCATTCACCGCTTCTGGAGGCAGATTGTTCCACTGGTTAATTGTTCTAACTGTCAGGAAGTTTCTCCTTAGTTCTAAGTTGCTTCTCTCCTTGATTAGTTTCCACCCGTTGCTTCTCGTCCTGCCTTCAGGTGCCTTGGAAAATAGCTTGACTCCCTCTTCTTTGTGGCAGCCCCTGGGATATTGGAATACTGCTATCATGTCCCCCCTTGTCCTTCTCTTCATGTTGAGAAACATTGTTGTAGATTAATCCTCACTCTTCTTCTAATACTCTGTCAATAATAACATGGCCATCAGGTCTCTCTTACTTGTGCCTGGCCCATCTTCTACAAAAGTTAAAAATTTCTGAAATTGTAAAAAAAAAAAAAAAGCCTAAAGTTTAATACATCACAATCTGTTGTTGAATCACCTTTATTCATTGGCATGCTATAATAGTTTGCTTCTACAAAGATTAAAAGGAATGAGAATAATTAAACACTGAAAAGTTAAACAGTAGAGGTATTTTTTTAAAAAAAACCTTGGAGGATATTCTTAGATGTGTTTGATCTACATGCATATCGACACACAATTTTCCACTCCAAAGATCCCTTTATTTTTCAGTTTCCTTCCCACTAACATCTCATTGTCCATCGTATAATTAGGCTTCCCTAAATGCGGTAGCCTCTTTTCCTTGTCCTTGGCTCTCTCTCCCTGCAAATTTAGATTTCTACCAGTATTTGCAAACCAAATATTTTGGCACACATAAGAGGGGAATTCTCCATCTATTTCAATTCACATTTGTGCTTTTCTAAAGCCACTTGCAGTCCCTATTCCCTGTTTCAATGATATAATTTATTTTTCCATTTAAGTCCTCAGGATTTTGTTTCATGCTATATGATCTAGTTAGGAACTAGATATTGGATATTATGACTTCATGATACCTTATAACCACTGGGCCTGATTAGAGATGAAAGTTACAAAGTTAAATCAGAATAAGGTCAATACTTGCTGTCATTAGTTTTAACAATGGTGATCAGGAAACACTTTTTTACATATTTTTACAGTTATTACAGTTGTTGAATTGTAATGGTGTGTGAAAATGTATTTGGGAGACATGAGGGAGAGCTACATGAAGAAAACCATGCAGAAGATGTATCAGTCCATAGAAGGAGAGGCAGTGTGACAAACACTTCCTTCCCTAGTTTTCCATAGAGCAGTGGTTCTCAACCTGTGGGTCGGGACCCCATTTGGGGTCGATCGACCATTTCATGGGAGTCGCCAAGTAAGGCTGTCCGCCATTTTTTTTGTCCGCCATTTTTTTCCCCTTTTCCGGCGGGTGCCTTACCTCCCTTGGGCTGGGCCAGCTGGTGGTCAGCCTGCTCCGTCTCTGCCGCTTGCCAGATACGCCTCGCCCGGCGCAGGGGGCGGAACCATGCATGCGCGACGCTCCTGGTCAGGGAAAGTCCTCGACTTACGACCGGTTTAGTCCTCGACTTACGACCGGTTTAGTCCTCGACTTACAACCGGTTTAGTCCTCGACTTACGACCGGTTGGGGTCGCGGCATTAAAAAGGTTGAGAACCACTGCCATAGAGCAAACGGAGGGGAGAAATAATTTCAATCTTGTAAAATTCCACTAATGTAACCTATGTATGAATTCTAATAATACCTCAGTTTTATTCAAATTCCTGCCTCCTTCTGAGCTGTGTTTGCCACAGACAATCCTTCATAGCTATCAATTGAAAATGATTAATAAATTGTTAATATTCTATCATTTTGTTTGCTTATTATAAATATTATGATTATTGTCTCACACTCACATATAAAATCTCCTCTTTTTAATCAGGATTTTTTCCTCATTGTGATGAACCCAAGTGAATTTCTAGTGAATAGCAAAAACATGAGGCAGGTACAAATTAGATAAAACCAAGCTGTAATTCTCAAGGGACAATATGATAATGTGTATGTGTATGACACCATTAGAAAGTAGGAACCAACATTCCAGTATTTGCCCAAGAGAAGTCTTGGGAAACTGTTGATTTACTTATAAAATTTAAGAAATACATGAAAATATTATCTAGAACTTGCTAGACAACTATTCCTTTATAGCAAGTAAATCACCTCTAGCACTCCTAACTAAGAAAGAGAGGAGAGAAAGAATGCTGAATAAGCATATGCAAAGACTTTTTCAAGAGCAAAGTACACTTGACATAGGATTAATCTTTGAAGATAATACAAATTTCACTTTAACTGACTGCACAAGGCCAGGAAGGCTAGAAGTGAGGGATGAAGTGTCTAAGCTTTCTTCCTTGGACCCTGGTGACATTATTAATGATTTTTGGGAAAAACCATGGATCTGATTCTGGTGAAAAAAATAGACCCAAAAGGAACATTAATCAGACACAGTGAGTACCATTCTTGACATTTTAATTACAGCTTGCTTGAATTCATATAGATACAGAAAAAACCTGCCATAGGAATAGAACAAACTATGTAGCTTCATTAAAGTTCTTTACAATGTGCCATGTTCTTCCCTTTGACATATCAGGCCTCGCATATCGTCTGAAGAGGGCAATTTAGTCTTCCATACTGGCTCTACCAAGAATATTGAGTTCAGAACTGGATCACAGGGCAGAATAAAACTTAATGAAGAAGACCTTGCTGATGTTTTTAGTCAGGTAATGATTTGGATCTGTTCACAATGTTGTTTATTACTATCTAAATCCAATTCTTCAATAATGTTCAAAGGGGATTCAGAAAATCAGATTTAAATATGTTGATACATGATGATTTATATATACTTCCATCAATTACATGCTGCTTTTTAAGATAAAGAAATTATCTAAAGAAGTTTTTAATCTGGTCCCAGATTAAATAATTTGGTTCCCAAATAGGATAATCCATAGATTTTATTTATTTTTATAATTCATAGATTACTTTTATATATTATATATTTATAACACATAAATAATGTAGTTAATGAAAGAAGTCCAGTGCATAACCAGGACAATTATTTCAAACATCATATTTAGGTATTTAAAATAGTTATACTGCTGTATATCAAAAATCTCAGAATATATTATATTGATAACTAAATAATAGCTAAAATATCTCCAAACCACATATAGATACCAATTATGCAGGAATAGTAACATTTCCATTGGCAGTAAAATACATTGCCTACACCAGGGCTTTTCAACCGGTGGTATGCATACCACTGGTGGTACTTCGACACCTGGCTGGTGGTAGGTGTATGATGGGTTGAAAAGCACTGTAAAACAAAAAGTGTTAAAAAAAAGTATGAGGTGGAGCGGCGGCAGCGCCGCACAGGCCTTTAGGAGAGTCAGTTGGAGCTGCTTGAGGTATTGCCGAGACTCTGCTGAGAGGCCAGGATCGGTGTGCACTGCTCCACCTGATCGATGGTGGCCTTGGGGGTGGCAAGCAGCCGCATGCAGTCTTAGGGCGGAGATTCAGCTGGAGCTGCATGAAGTTTGCCTAGGTTCTGCTAAGAGTCCAGGATCGGCACGTGCAGCTACAGCTGATCAGCACCGGGTCTAGGATCTTTTGCCTCCTACCCTTGGCCACACCTCCTTCTCCTTGAGCCTCCCGCCTCTGCCCATTTGCCTCCAGCATTCCTCCTCAGAGCAGCATGCAATTGCCAATAGGTAATTGCAGGGACTTTGCGGGGTACAGTTTCTGCAGTTGAAGTGGGGGCATGTCAGGGTGCTAGTTGGTTATCCCCCCAAAGATTCCCCAACCTTAAAACAGCTCTTGGGTGGCAACAATTACCCAGCACGAGGGGCTCAGGAGAAAGAGATGCTGGCAATGCTAACCTCCAAGAATGAGGGGCTCAGAGGCACCTACAAGCAGGGGAGGCAGGGAGGGAGGGGGGCAAAGAAAGGAAATCAAACTTGATTGACAGGGAGCATAGTAACCCTGCCCCTATTCCACAGAGGGCAGATCCCCATCATTCCAAGCCCGGCAGGGGTCTTCCTACTGCACTGTTGCAGACAAAGGGGGGCTCTGGTGAGGTGGAGGAAGAGGGTTTAAGCAAACAGCAACCAGAGTGGGGATCCCCCCAAAAAAACAAATGTGCTTTGTGGGTAACCTCCCATCATGACAGAAGCGACCAAAACCTGCTGCATCCAGCCAGCAGACGGGGGAGAAATAAAAACCAAACAGCCCCTTCCCTGCTGCCAATCCTCAACAGAATGCTCACGACAATGAAAACCTCAGACAGGAGGAGGAGCCCGGGCATGCAGGCGGGTGGCTTGCTCAGCTGTGGCTTGGGGAGGGAAAGGGGAAAGCTTTACCCCCCAGACACTGCCCTCTCATGAAAGCAGGATGTAAACTCCGAAAAATGACAAAGAAATAAGTTTAAAACAGAGGAGTGTCTCACATGGTTTTCTTCCCCACTTCCTTCTAGCAGTTTAAATATGTAAAGACGACAAAAGAAAAAACTTCGCTTTCTTTCATTTTAATTCAGAAGGGAGGAATGGGAGGATTCGGGGGAAGGGTTGTTTGTTTCAAAGGAAGGGAAAGGGGGGCCTTGGGTCTGTGGGGGACACAGCAGGTGAACGGCGATGGCACGCGGCTTCTGGTGTGGGGGTGCGCTGTCTTTTTAAAAGACCAAAATGGGGCAAAAAATAAAAATCACCCACTTCATCCCCAAGAACTGGATGCGATGTGATCTTTTTTCTTTCCTTGTTTGTAGTTTTTGGGAGTTTTCATCCTGCTTTCGTGAGAGGGAAGCGTTTGGGGGGATGAAGTTGCCCCCTTTCCCCCCCAAGCCATCAGCCGAGCAAGACACCCGCCTGTCTGCGCTCTTCCCCCTGTCCGAGATTTTCGTTGTCATGAGCATTTCTGTTGAGGATTGGCAGCGGGGGGGGGCTGTTTGGTTTTTATTCCCCCCCCTCCCGTCTTCTGGTTGCAGCAGGTTTCAGTCACTTCTGTCGTGCTGTGTGGTTACTCACAAATCACATTTGTTTTTTGGGGGATCCCCACTCGGTTGTTAAGCTTGCTTAAACCCTCTTCCTCCTCCTCCTCCTCCTCCTCCTCCTCCTCCTCACTGGAGCCCCCCTTTGTCTGCAGTGGTGGGGCAGGAAGACCCCTGCTGGGCTGGGGATGATGGGGTTCTGCCTTCTGCGGAATAGGGGCAGGGTTACTATGCTCCCTGTCAATCAAGTTTGATTTTTTTTCTTTGCCCCTCTCACCTCCCCTGCTTGTAGGTGCCTCTGAGCCCCTCATTCTTGGAGTTAGCATTGCTGGAATCTCTTTCTCCTGAGCCCCTCGTGCTGGGTGCTGGGTAACTGTTGCCACCCAAGAGCTGTTTTAAGATTAGGGAATCTTTGGGGGATAGCCAACTAGCACCCTGACATGCTCTCCCCCATGCTCCCACTTCAATGGCAGAAGCCACACACCCCCAAAGCCCCTGCAATCACCTATTGGCTTCTTTGAGTCAAGCAGAAGGAGAGAAGGGGATAGAACAGTGCAAAGATTAATGTCAGAGAAACAGGCACAAGTTTCCCATTAAAAGTGTGGTAAGTAGGTGTACAGATAGTCATCAACCTACAACCACAATTGAGCTCAAAATTTATGTTGCTAAGTGAGAAATTGTTAAATGAGTTTTGTCCCATTTTATGACGTTTCTTGCCACATTTGTTAAGTGAATCACTGCAATTGTTAAATTAGTAACAGTTCTTAAGTGAATCTGGTTTCCCCATTGACTTTGCTTGTCAGAAGGTTGCAAAAGGGGATCATCTGACTCTGGGACCCTGTGACCGTCATAAATATGAATCAGTTGCCAAGCCTTTCAATGTAAATCACAAGACCCTGGGAATGCTGCAATGGTCATAAGTGTGAAAAATGGTCATGTCACTTTTTTCAGTGCCATTGTAACTTCAAACAGTTACTAAGCAAACTGTTGTAAGTCGAAGTCTACCTGTATTTTATCACTTTTTTCCTTTTTTTTTTTTTGTCATCAAGCTTTTGACACCTTGCAAGGCGACTGGTGGTACTTGAATATTGCCATATCCTAAAAGTGGTACAGTCTGTGAAAAGGTTGAAAAGCACTGGCCCACACTAATACAATTGATTGCACAAGGCTTTATCATCAGGTGTTCCAGTTATTTCATATGATATCCTTCAATGTGGTTTTATTTTGCTTTCTCTAAAGCATTGCTTATGCTTCCTATATATATGTATCTATATATACACACACACATACATACATACATACATACATACATACATACATACATACACACACATACATACATACATACACACACACACATACAGAAAGTTTTTCAGACAGACCGGTCTGATTGATTGCACCTTGGCATTTTGACTGCTATACTGCAGTTCTACTTTTTTATAATCACTTTTGCCTTGCAGCCCCCTTTAACTCTTTGTCAGCAAAAAGAAATCTGAATATATATATGTATATGTATATGTATGTATATGTATATATTCATAGATCTGGCTCCAAATTCTCAAGGTCCTTTGACTTGTGGCAACCAATAAGTGTCCAGACCACAGATCTGATCTTCTGTGATGCAGCTTTTATGTATTTATTTGCCTTGATTTTTGTTATTTTGGCAGGCAACTACAATAATTTTGGATAGATTGCAAAACCAATCTGAGGCTCATGAAAATTCTATAGTATGAGGAATAGAGCTCCTCATAATTTTTAAGCAAAAGTAAAAGCCAGTGATTGAAACTTGTCATAGAAAGATCAAATACGGTTTCTTTATTTTTGTAGTCACTGGAAAAGCTATGTTATCCAACATTTGCCATGCTCAAAAATGCAATGCCTAAGTATAGGATGATCTAATGCCACTAGTGGCTGGCCAAGAGTTCATGTTTTTACTGAGGTAGTTCAACTCCCATTGAAAAACATTACCACCTGCCCAACAAAACACGTGTCAGACTTCAAAAGCATGCCCATCTGGGATGGATGGCAGCAGTCACTAGAAGGATAAGAAAGAATAGAGGGCTTCAGAGGCCATGGCGTGGTAGAATTGAAAACAAAGTCTTCATAATAGCTTAATTATGTTGGGTTTTGAATCAACTATCTGGAGTCTTATGTTTTTTTAACTAATGGTGTTTAATACTGAAAAGCATGTTATGAAATTTCCTGACCTCAATGGCAACTCAGAAATGCCTTTATATAGAAATATAGTAAATACATTTCCTAGTTTAGAAGAGATGCCAGCTATGTTAGAAAAGTCCCTACAGTGGGTAAAACTGCATAGGAAAATCCAAACATTCCTCCTCCTCCTCCTCCTCCTCCTCCTCTTCTCCACCACTCTCCCCTCCCATAACTGCCTGGATTAGTCACTGTAGCTTTCTTGGCAAGGTTTTTCAGAAGTGGTTTGCCATTGCCTCCTTCTAAAGGTCAAGAGAGAGTCACCCAGCTATCTTTGTGTCTAAAATGTAATTAAAAATCCTGGTTTCTAGTCAAGTGATTTAAGCATTACACCAAATGAGTCTCCATCTTTTGTTAGAATCCAGGAACCTGTAGAATCTTCAGGGACTCTGCCCCAAGGGTCAAGTTACTCAAGAGTTTCTCAGGGTACATAACCTCTGTCTTAACCAACGTTAGTGTTACAATCCTTTCTCTCTTTCTGAGTCATACCCAAATGTTGTAACATGGGGGGATTTTGCAGTATTCTCATTTGAACAAACATTTTACTGGGTGGGGTAGAGTGCCATCCCTCCCTCTACAGATCTACTTCAGTGGAACCATTCCACCTTTCATGCTTTGGGGCAGTGAGCCTTTATATACATATGGTTTAGAGTTCCTCACTCAAGACTGGCAGCATGATGCCTCATCCATTTTTAATACATGAACTGATCGTGTGAGTTTTTATCCCTGGACTGGAAGTTAATATTATTGGAGCATTGTTTGCAAAAAATCATTTGAAAGAGGACAGCTAGCAGAAGCAATAATTAAAACAACAGGGCCTATAAAGAGTAAAAATCAGAATTTCTTCCTCTCCCTGGACAGAGTTCTCTTCATTCACTGAGAATTATGTTTGCTGCAATTTTTAAACATTTGAGAATTGTTTATCCCTTTTATTTCTAAATGTAGATCCAACGGAATAAAGATGAACTTCTAGAACTAAAAAGACTCACAAGCACACATCACAATGTTTCTAGTGAGATCATCCAGCTTCAATCCCAGGTATTTTTTAATATCTCTTTATGTATCATTTATGTATTCTGAATCTAGTACAAATATCACTATTTAACTACCAAATTAATTGTTTAATTTGCTGTCCTGCAAAATAATTTTTATGTCCCGGTTGAGATCCTACACTTTATGCCACACAAATACCAGTTTATGATATCTCTCCATTTCTTTTTTTAATTTGCCATAGTTCATCTATAAAGAATAAAATCCATTTTTAACTACTGCAAAAAATGAATTGTTTGAATTAACTGTAAAACATTGAAAAGAGAATAATTCATTGCTTGTTAATGGATCTATGTCTTAACCATTGGACAATTGGATGGTGCTTGGGGCCAGTACTACTTTAAGAACAAAAAGGACACCTCAAATAGTTGACGAAGTAGAGTCTGAAGGGTTAGGGTTAGGGTTAGGGTTAAAGGACTGCAATGAAGGGTTAAAAGGACTGCATAGACTATCATCGATTTCTAGACAGGCTTCATCTTTAGTAAAGGAGAATAGTCCATTTAATTATTTTGAAATATCAACATCTATAATTAATGGAATAAAAGAAATCTGTCTTGAATATATGTATTTTTTTAACTGTGGAAAAACTAAAATTCTCAAAGTAGATTCTGCTGAAACAGTATCCTAAGTCAGTTATAATAAATTTTACTTGAAATCTTCAAATATTCATGAAAGTTGCCAAAATGTAACAGAAAATTTGCATATATTTAAAAAGAGTTTGTGCTATGGGACTTTGTAGGTTCTTTAAAATTATGAAATTGGACAGAACAGAGTAACATATGATAGTGACAAATAGATTTATGCTAATATAGATCCCATTCTTTTTCTGCTGCAGATTGTGAATATCGAAGGTAGACTTCATAATCTTGAGCTGGTGAGTAACATGATGTACACCTTTTATGTACTTTAAGGTTAATTAATTGCCAGAAGTAATAACACTAAAAGAATGGCTTTATTTTTGCTTTATATTTTATTCCAGACCTTCCTAAAAAAACACTGTAGTAGCAACCCTTGCCAGAATTCTGGAACCTGCATAAATCTACTAAATGCTTTCTTTTGTCTTTGTCCCAACAATTGGCAGGTAAGATTCTTAGTATCTTCCATAACTTGCAATGTATAAAATGCAGTTTGCACCAGCACTGTCATTTACACAACAGCCAATCCAGTGTAACCAATCTAACCGATAAAGGAAAATCAGAAACTAGTTTGTATGCCCATGCAACAGAATAACATGGTGCAGAAAATATCTGCCAATAGGGCAGACTAGATAGAAATTAGCAATTGCCATAAATATTAAGAGGACTACAAATTGGAGGCATTGTATACTACACTGTTTATCCACCTTATGTCATGGTTCTGACAGATGAAAGTCTTCAAAAGAACTTGAGGCATTGTTTACCTTAAAGAATCTTTTATTCGAGAAACAAAGTATTGGCACTACATAGTTGAAACCACAAACTAAATTCCCCTCCCCTGGATACAAAGTAATAAAGTGCAATTTCCTCCTCCAATAAACAGTCATAAATCACATTCTCCCCAGCCCTATAGGCGCCAAAACACTATCAACTCTGGGTCCAATGTCCTTGGGTTCCAATGTCCTTGGGTTTCTACGATTAAGATATTATTGTTATGACTAGCTGGACTCTCATCCCTATTCCCCCTCCCAACAGCAACTAATTCTAAAAGCAATAGAGAAAATGGCTGCATTTCCATTGTTGTCAAAGCAAGAACATCCGATGTTAGCAGCGTTGACATCTTAGGCAGTGGAAACAGAACTTCTATTATCCAAGTTATAAAATTCAGTTGCTGTTCTAGCGAGCTTGTGGATTCTGTGTCTTTGATCCCAGGAATAATTTGTCTTGGTCCAGACCAGTTGCCATATACTGTAACTTAGACTGCATAATTCTTTCCTCAGATTTTTATGCTGAGGTCTTCTTGGTCACTTGCCCTTTGGGATCTTTCTCTTGGAGATGCCAAAGTGGGATTTTTGGCATGCAAATTTGTATTCTGCTATTGAGTTCCATAACATTCCCTTGCATTTAATACTTGGCAGCTGAAAGTCTGATTATTTTGAAAAGTGCTATATACCAAGGGTGGTTAGAAGGGAACTACTTAGTATTGGAGGCCTTAGGCATTGAATATGCTCATGCTAGTCTGCCCAAGAATTTCAGTTGCTTACATTTGTTTGTGCTATGATGATTCTTAATTGAAAAATATACAAGAGGGAGTGGTTTAGGGAAAAATGTGGGAGGTGGGAGCAGATTTAATGGATCTCCCCAGCTACAAAATTACAATTTAATTCATGTAGACAAACCTTTTTTTAAAAAAAAAAAATTAGAAATAGATGCTGGTCATTTAATATTACAGCAATAGCTTAACTACCACACAAATGGCCCTATATATATATATAATTTTTTTTCAGTAGAATATACATTTCTGTGTATATCTAGCATCAGTTTTGAGGGCTAACTGTACCTGAGCTGATTCTCAAGTTTTAAGCTTTTATTACAGTGTACCTATGTTTTGAATTAATTGAAAGTACACTGTACTTAAATGAACAAGGAAGGCGAAGTCACAAAACCAAGTTTTGTTTAGTGTTTATAAAGGAAACATTACAGTGAGAAAGTTGGATATTCTATACCAATCTTTTCCTATCTTGACAGCTTTAAAATGTTTGGACTCCAACTTTGAGAATTCTTGGAGACGAAATTCACACATCTTAAATTTGCCAAGATTGAGAAACACTACTCTGTACTTTTTGAAATTTTATATCATATATCAGCTTGATCCACATGTTTTAATCCTTAATTTACTTGGAAAATAAACCATCCTTCTCTTTTCAGGGACCAGATTGTTCTGTTGATGTTAATGAATGCCAGATTTATGAGGGAACATCCTTAGGATGCCAGAATGGAGCAACATGTGTAAATAAGCCGGGGAATTACAGGTAATTTTAATGATCTTATGGGCAGTTTTTTGTATAGCACTTTTAACTGCCACTTTTATATGAGAGAACATCCATCGAAGTCAGGTGAACAGCTGGACAGAACGATACCAAATAGCTAGATGCCTTTCTAGCCCTTCATAGTAGGACAGCTTCATGTTGCAAATCCCAAACTAAATAATTTTATCTTTTCACCCCTACAGGTAGTTCTTTATTTATGACAGTAATTGAAATCACAATTTTAGATGCAGATTATGACAGTCATAACTGTCACATGTGATTTTAAAATCTTTTTTTGCAGGAGTCATTAAGTAAACACAATGGTTGTTAAGCAAATACCATAGTCATTAAGCGAACCCATTGTTTACCATGGGGCATTTTTTGCTGAAAACCAGAAATTAACATTGATTTCCAGAAAAAAAATGTTGTAAATCATGGTCATAGAGTACTAGCTGTACTTTTTTGGCTTGATTTATAAACTCACTACACTTTTCAAGAAGTCTAAGTATGTGTCCTTGTCCTTCATTACATAAATAACACAACATTGACACATAACATTAAAACAGAAGCCTAGTCAAATACTGCACAACATGCACAGGGCTGGTATCAGCATATGACATTTTCTCAGTCAACATGCTGGGACAATTTATCATCATTGACCACTACTTCTGTACTCCCTTTAAGGATATTTTAAGATCATATTTTCCCCAGTACCCGTAACAGATCTCTGAGCAACATCAAGAGGCAATTTTCACCATTCTTATAATTTTCTACCATATTGCAGAATCAATACCATGAAATACACCAGAAAGCTGGAATAACTATTTTTCTTACATTTCACAGAATAAGTTTGAAGTGAACCCCCAAGCACTATCTGGAGACAAGATTTTGGGGTGCTTGATCTATTGTGAGAAACAAAAAATACAGCAAGGCTCAGCAGCTTAGCCCTTCTGGAAATGCTGTCATTACCTTCAGGTTATCTATGCCATGACTTAGTGACAGAAAGGTCTCTTCTGTCTGGATAGACACAACTTCCCTTTCATGTTAATGAGATGGCGGGGGGGGGATAGAACTGAATACATGGAGAAAAAACTCAGTGTATTCTGTTCTGTATGTTTATATATATGTCATATGTTGCATTACACATGCATTCCACATGTAGCCGTCAACATAGTTCATTTGAAGTTACAACAGCACTGAAAAAAGTGATTTATGACCTTTTTTACACTTATGACCATTGCAGTATCTCCATGGTCATGTGATCAAAATTCAGACATTTGCAATTGAGTTATATGAAGGTTACAATGTCCCGGGGTCATGTGATCACCTTTTGCAAACTCCTAACAAGCAAAGTCAATGGGGAAGCTGGATTCACTTAACAACTGTGTTACTAACTTAATAACTTCTGTGATTCACTTCACTGTAGCAAAAAAGTCATAAAATGGGCCAAAACTCACTTAACAAATGTCCCATTTAGCAACAGAAATTTTGGACTCAGTTGTGGTTGTAAGTCGAGGACTACCTACATATGCAGAAAACAAAGAAAAAAATTCCAAATCGTCAACAATAAATAAACGATCTCTATCTTCACAGCCCTACCCACTTTTATTTTCCAGAAAAGCATTTGAGTTATCCTTTTTTCTCAGACAGTTCACCAAAATCTGAGCAAGATCTTGTTCATTAGTCATGATTCATTTGATCCGAGTTTTGATTAAAAAAGAGACTGGCTGATAAAACTTCCTAGCAAAACATTTTCAATGAAAAGCATTTTTCTGCTTGATATTGGAATATTATACTAACAAAGTTTTTAAAATAATTTATCTCTACAAATACCAAACTGACATTCTTTTTGTTTTAGAAAATGTTGTCATAGCTTAAAAGTTTTTACACAAATTAAATGAAGGCAAATTTAGTTCTCCTAAAATATCAACATATACTTAGAGATTTTTTTGGGTTATTCAGAATTTTTTAATACTTTCAATTTTAAAATTAAGATCCCTTACAATAAGAAAACTATAGAACAATAGGTCATACCTACTAAACTGTTTGATCCAGTCAGTCTCCGTTTAAAGTCTTCTAGTGAGAGATAACTTACTGAATAAAATAATATATGAATAATAAAAGTGTATGAGTGTGTGTATGTGTGTGTGTGTGAGAGAGAGAGAGAATACAGAGCAAGCAGATTAACCTATCAGTTCATTAACATCACTATCTTTTATTGCTTTAGAGTAAAGTCAGTTCTCAGATGTCCTTGTACTATTGACAGTACTTAATTGTTAAAAGCCACAAGTTAGCAAGGTCCCACTTTTTTCCTCATAATTATTTTTCTCTCTAATTCTTTTCTCTTTCTTTCTATCCCTTATTTTTCTTTCCTCCCCCCCTTAACCCAGGAAGATCTTGTTTGCTAAATCAATTATTAGAAGGTTAAGCTGACCTTTTTCAAAGGCTTTTGAAATTGGGTGAAGAATAGCATGAAAGTTGGCCAAGGTTCGTTCACAAGTTCCTCTCTCTGTTTAGATAACTGTGTCAAACCCCAAGCAGCTGTGCAAGATCAAGGAAGCAAGACTTCACTAAGTTATCTTTAATCCTACATTAGGGTAAATACTGAATCTTGGAAGCTATTCTAGGATTTTTCCATTTTCATTCATAGTAAGGTGAAGATTCTTTGAATCGTACGAAACACTTCTTTCCAGCCTTCCTATAGGTTAAGTTGTTGTTTATGAGATATCAGCTGATCAACTGTTTCTTGATTATTCCTGCTCTCTTCCATTTGTTTCACAGCATTCACACAATTTTTTATAAATTGGTTCAGTGATTCAAACTATTCTTACTATCAAAGTGAGTTTACTAGTGTTCAGCTACAGCCAATTTCTTATAATTTTAATCAAGTTAAATCCAGCCTCTACCTCCTCTGATAGCAAAAGGACCTTTCTAGCTCTTTTCTGTGAGACCATCCCTTATTGATGAAGAGACTGTTGAATCTGTTGAATTATTTTATTCATCTTCTATAATAATAATAATATTAATTTATGATTGTGTCTAATACTTATTTCTGTATGAAGAATCAGGCTTGTTATTCTTTTCTCAACCTGTTCCAGGTCATCTTCATATTTTTAAAAACCCTAAACATGATTCAGTACTGCAGATAAGCTACCATTCATGAGAAAAATATGGTTTAACAGTAATAGTTCTATACAGATATTCCTTGAGATATGGAGTATCTCAATGGAGCCTGTCTATTATGGTTGCATGTCATGTTAATTGCTAGGTGAAACATCTCACCTAATTACCCAATGTTGGAAAATGCGGGTTGTTAAGCAGAGCATGGGGTGCCTTTGGCTGGGAGAGATCATTGGAGGTCTAATATGGGTCCAGGACTACCTGTCCTAACCCACCCAAAGCTTCCCCACTTCTGAGATGCCCCTTGTTCCATTTCCCGTACCTTGGGTTTCCAACAGGCCTTTTTCCATTCCCACTGAGTCCTTCCAGGTTTTAGACCTGATTCACACCCCACCAGGTCAAACTCCCTTCTCCTTATGTATCTTCTGAAGAACTCTGAGGCTTTCCAGGGCACTGGAATAACTTCCTTCTTTGTGCAGCCACATGGCACAATTCCAAAAGCAGTTGCCATTTGGTTCTACAAAATGGCAGCCATCTTTGGGTCACTACCTTCCAGCCCATTCTGTTGGCTTATCAAGGTCTGCTGCATTCAGAAGTTTCTGCAGCACTGTGTAGACCTCTCTAAGGCAGCAAAATGAAGCACATTTGGATCACCATTGTGCATGCGGCCTGCATACTTGGCCAATAAAGAATTCTATTCTATATAATTTCTAGATTTAAGGCAGATTTTACCTTCTCCCACTTGGTCTCTGCTCTCCACTCATCCATCTTTCTAGTGATAGTATTGATGTATTAGTCTTGTTGTGTTCTTTTGTCATTGTTTATTTTGTCATTGTTACTTTTGTTATTGTTCTATTATTTTACCTTTGTTTATGTTAATTTCATTTTTCTTTCTTTTTATTATTATAAGTTGCTTAGAATAGCCCAGTGGTGGGATAGGTGGCAAATAAATTTAACAAATATTAATAAATTTAACAAATAATATTTTGTTCTCATATAAACATTCATATGAATATTCATATGATTATAAATTCATGTGAATTTGTTATCAGCTAATATAACAAATCAATTCATCAATGAGATAAATGCAGGCTGTTTTATACATCGGGACTGATCAAATTATTTCCATTCAGTTTCACATATATTACCTCATCAGTCCATTCCATTCTGTTACTATATCAACCTGAATTTCAAATTCATTCTTCTGCAGTTAGCATTCTACTTTTTTAAAAAATAAACTATGTAAAATTTTGTTTTTAAGCTAATAACTATATTACAATATTTGAAAACATGAAAACTGAAAGTAACTGTTTTTTGATTATTTAAAAGTGATAGGTAGACAAAGCTAAGATACTCTACTATAGACATGTCAAACACAAGGCCTGGGGGCCGGATGCAGCCCGCGACGTGGTTGAATGTGGCCTGCGAAGCCATCCTGGAAACAGTGAGGGAATGGTCCCCGCTGCCTTGGCTCTGGCCCAGGCTGGCCGGGAGCCAATGTACAATTTTGTGGTGGCCATCTATGCTGAAACGCATTCAGTCTTAGCTCCACAAGGCCGTCTGGAAACAGCAAGGAACCAGCCCCTGCCGCATTGGCCCCATCCCCTGGGTGCGTGCTGGGGAGATGTCACCCTTTGTGAGGAATGAAGAACTGCACCGTTGCCTGGAAGTGGCCAGCAAATGGCCCTCGCCTACTTCACATATCCGTCTTGATGGGCTCTGGGGGAGGGGTTTCGGCAGGCTCTTTCAGTGGACCATGCCTTGGCACTTGCCCTGGTCCCACCCCCTTCTGTCAGAGACCCTCAGATCTGTCCCACTCCTGCCAAGGCCCCCACAGGCCCCCTTGGCACGAACGATGTAGAGCTGGCCATGCCCACCCAGTAGGCACACCCACTCTAGCCATGCCCACCCAGTAGGCCATGCCCACCCTGGCCACACCTACCAGCCCCCCCCCCCGAGGACAACCGCAATGCTGATGCGGCCCTCAATGAAATTGAGTTTGACACTCCTTCTCTACTATATTTTTTCAGTCCTGTGAAAGAGACCACATTCTAGCTAGGAAAATTTCATTGTTTCTATCAAATAAGAAATATCTCAAAGAATATGTTTCATTTCAAGGTATAAAAATGAAGAACAGAAAAAATATCAAGTCATCATTCATTCATTCATTTCATGGCATGATGCAGATACTCTAGGACAGTGTTTCTCAACCTTGACAATTTTAAGGCATGTGGACTTCAACTCCATTGCTGGCTGTGGAATTCTGGGAATTGAAGTCCACATGCCTTAAAATTGTCAAGGTTGAGAAACACTGCTCTAGGAGACTAGTTTTGCAAGATCGAATCTGGTTGGTCATTGTAACCAAAGATTTACTGTTACTAGTTTCAGCCTCAAGTCCAAAACTGGAGTCCTAGAGTCCATCTTCAGGAAACTAGTTTTTGCTAAGGATTTGCTTTCAAAACCCTTGATCTGAATAGTTTGAAAGCGGTACAGGTAGACCTCAACTTATTGAAATTAATTTAATGACTGAAGTTACAAAACACTGAAAAAAGTGACTTATGTTGATTTTTCAGACTTGTGACTGTTACAGCATCCCCACAGTTACAGGATCGAAATTTGGATATTTGGCAACTGGTGTGTATTTATGGTGATTGCAGTGTCATGTGATCACATTTTGAGACCTTCTGACAAGCAGAGTCAATGGGGAAGCCAGATTCACTTAATAACCATTGTACTAATTTAACAATTGTAGTGATTCACTTAGCAATTGTGGTAAGAAAGGCCATAAAATGAGGCAAAATTCACTTCTTGGCAATGGAAATTGTAGTTCGTAAGTCGAGGACTACCTGAAGTATATTAATTTGTGATAAGAAAATAGGTGAATGACAAAAAATAATTTATTCCATTTCAGAGAAGTTCTGCCCAAGCAGAATTTGAAGTTCTGCAATTTGCTTGTGCAAGGCATTTGTTGTAATTGGATTACTTTATTTTATTGTATCTGCGTTAGACTGAATGATAGGAGACTGGAAATTAGAAAATGCTTATTTATAGAGGGTGATAAAGGCATGTTTATCAGGAAATAAGATCATTGTCTGAAACAAGCAGTCTGTTAAAGAAAAACTATTTATTTGATTACACAGAAGAGTAGTCAAGCATGCAGGCTTTTGAAACCTGGGTTAATCAGTTGTACTTTACCAGAAGCAATGTGCTCAATAACCCAGGTTAACTTGCATTTAATCTGTCAAGCCAAACAGCTAATGAAACATAGAGCCATCTGAAAAACTAATCCAGCTTTTGGCTACTGCTGAAACAGAGACTATGGAATGCACAATTTCACTCAATTCTGCCAAAATTTAAGCATCAGAGACTAAAAAGTATTAAGGAGGTTTAATGTTATTTATTAATATATTTACTACCAACATTTGTATATTTTGTACTTACTGTTGCTCCAAAAGTTTCTTATATAGCCCAATACACCAGAAATCTGATTAATATTTTTATCAGCAGCAGAGTTATACTCTGCTATTGTTACAAGCTAGAAGTAACTTGGTGGATTTGAATGAAATCAGATTGATTTGTAGTTTTTAAAATGTCCTTCATTTACCTCCTTGGTCCTATTATTCCATGCAATATATGATTTCTAATATAGAGAAAATTCTATTTGCCCTACATGGGGATTCAGGCAGTTCTCTGGCACATTTTATTCTGGTACAAAATCGCCAATCATATACATTCTATGTGCTCTGGGCAAGAACTGGAGGCTATTACTCTGGCTTTATGTAGTTAGTTTTATAAATGTGGTTTCAAAAGATTGCATGCATTAATATATAATATACAGGTAGTCCTCACTTGTTCAACAACTATTCAAACTTACAATGGTGTTAAAAGAGGAGATTTATGACCAGTCCTTGAAGTTGCAGCTGTCACAGCATCTCCATGATCATGACTCCGGCATTTGGTAACAATGTATTTCTACAAAAGTTGCAATTTCTCTGTGATGGAATGTAGTGGGCTGGGTTCCTGTGACAAAAGTGATACCTTCTAGAAGAGTAACTGGCAATTGAGTTCCTGTGACAAAAGTGATACCTTCTAGAAGAGTAACTGGCAATTGAGTTCAGAGAAAAGACAGTAAAGACAGCTCCTTCCTCATAGTTCCCAGGGAATATGCTTGACATAGGAAATAGGCTGCTTCAGTTTAGCAAGAATCTGTTTACATGTGTGGAGCAATAAAGAAACCTGCTTTTGATATTTGCCATGTCTCTGTCTTGGGTTTGGGGGCCTGACTGTCCCAAAGCTACATTGCCATTTGTAAACGTTACAGTCAGCTTCTGACAGCAAAATCAATGAGAAGACAACAGGAAATTGCAAATCATGGTCATGTGATATCATGCTTAATGACATGATGATTTGCTTAATGACCACAGCCATGAACTGACATAAATGCATATTTTAGTGATAGAGGTACTGGTCCCAATTGGTTGGGATGTGAGAACTACCTTTAATGTAAACACAATATAAAAATGATGAATATGCCTGAATCAAAATCTTACATTGGACACATGAAAGGAATATCTATATTAAGTCATTATTTTTCTTTCAAAAGTTGCATTTGTACACCAGAAACATACGGACAGTACTGCACATCAAAATTTGATGATTGTCAAGGAGGATCATCTTTTCTTTGTGGACATGGGGTTTGTGTGGATGGAAACAGAGAACAGCTCCATCAGGTAAGCAAGAGAAGCCTTATAGCAAGAGTAGATACCTGCCAGGGATACTTTATTTGGGTTTTGTGCAGTATATGAAGAGTTGTACTTAATTGCCCAAATAGCTTTTTCCAAAACTTGAGATATACATTATACAGTTCGGCTGAATATAATTAGAACTGTAGCTTACCCTAGTCACAATTTCCTGAATGTAAGTCCCATTTCTTTCAATTGCCTTTCAGTTCTACTGAAGATTCCATTATCTGTGGAACTTAATCAAAATTAACTTTAGCTAGCCTGGGAGTAATAAATTTACATTTATTTGATTAAACATCTAGCAATATTTTCTTAGAATACTGTGGTCAGAATCCTGCATCAACCTAAGAAAAAGTGGAAGTGGAAGAAGGAATCTTCAATGAAGGAGGTCTCCATAGGCAGAAAGTATCTCTGCCTGGTTGTGGAGGATCCCCTCAGCAGGAGGATGGATATGCATTACTACACTTCTCCTTATTCCAAAATTCCCCTGATTTTCTTAATAGCATTTGGAGAAAGTTATGCAGACTGCTGAAGGAATGAGGGGACAGGAAAATTTTGCTTTTTGAAATTGTCTTCTATATGATATAGGCCAGTGGTTCTTAACCTTTTTGAACGAATCGCCCCCTTGAGCCAATGAGGAAGTTGTCATCGCCCCCTCCCCCAACATAACCTCTCAATCACAACTTTGCAATACTGCGGACCTCTTAAAATGAATTTATATAAATGAATGAATTTATATAAATGAATTTATATAAACTTTCATTTCTCTCCCCCAGAATAAAGTTAATA